ATCTCAAGCTAGGCAATTTTGTGAAATTGATCTAAAAAAATGGAGTGGGCATGGGCATTTATGAGGTTGCATGACGCCCCCCTAAAAAGTTACCTGCCAACCTCTTGGTTGGTTGGTTTTTTTTTTTTTAAGATGAGCAGTGGGAAATAGTCCCCCAAAACATGAACTTAAAAGTGAAGCTGCAGATAAATGATTTCAAGGCAAATAGGTTAGGGAAGCCATTTGAGAAAATGTCCAAGGTAGAAAACCAACCCATGTACTTTGTGAGGTGTTGCTGTTCTCCTTAAGCTAGAGCTTGTTTTTGACTTGACTTGGTCTTTTTGTCTGTAGGGTGACTTTGGAGGTCCTTTGGCCTGCCTGACTCAAGAATGCTGGGTGCTACAAGGTGTGATCACCCCATTGCGGGTATGTGCTCGCAAAGACGTGCCTGCCACTTTCATCCGAGTCTCTATGTATGTTGACTGGATCAACAAAGTGATGAGGCTGAGCTGAACTGTTGTATATTTATCATAAATTTCTGCCCGTCTCTCTCTCTCCCTTCTCAGAATTAGTGTGGAGCAACCATGGTCATGTCATGTGAAAAGCACTGCCAAAAAAAGATACTTCCAAAAGCTGACATCAGTAATGAGTTTTTTTACTCCATTTTGTGGAGTTTATCTAAGAAGATCTGCAACAATTAATTGCTTATTATAGAGCATCTTTTGCTAGGTACTTAGTGGAGAAAAGTTGATGATAATGACCATCATGGCTTCAAACATTATCAAATTTTATGAGAACAATGGAAGCATCCTCCGAGAAGTGTGAACCAATAATATATCGAAGTCCTGAACATATGACTAAGCTAATGTTCTTTAAGATTTAACAGATTAACAGAGTTAGAAGGGATCATGTACTGTAGGTCATCTAGTCCAACCCCCCCCCCCAAAGCAGGAAACCTCTCTGACAAATGGCAGTCCAATCTCTTCTTGAAAGCCTCCAGTGCTGAAGCTCTCATAACTTCCGAAGGCAAGCTGTTCCATTGGTTGATTGTTCTCACTGTCGGAAAATTTTTCCTTATTTCTAGGTTGAATCTTTCCTTGTTCAGTTTCCATCCATTATTCCTTGTCTGGTTTTCAGGTGCTTTGGAAAATAGCTTGACCCCTTCCTCTCTGTGGCAGCCACTCAAATATTGGAAGACTGCTATCATGTCTCCCCTGGTCCTTCTCTTCACTAGATTAGCCATGCCCAGTTCCTGTAACTGTTCTTCATATGTTTTAGTCTCCAGTCCCTTAATTATCTTGCACTTTTTCTAGAATCTCAACATCTTTTTTATAGTGTGATGACCAAAACGGGATGCTGTATTCTAGGTGTGGTCTTACCAAGGTTTTCTAGAGTGGTATTAGTACCTCACTTGATCTTGATTGTACCCCTTTATTAATGCAATTTAGGATTGCATTGGCCTTTTTGGTTGCCACCGCACGTTGTTGGCTCATATTTAACTGGTTGTCCACTAAGACTCCAAGAACCCTGTCACAGTTACTGCTATTAAACCTGGTTTCACCCAGTCTATATGTGTACTTTTGGTTTTTCTTCCCTAAGTGTAAGACTTTACTTTTCTCTACATTGAATTTCATTTTGTTAGATAGGGCCCAGTGTTCAAGTCTGTCAAGATCCATCTGGATTTTGAGTCTATCATCTAGAGTGTTAGTTATTCCTGCCACTTAGTTTCACCTGCAAATTTGGTAAGTTTTCCTTCTATTTCCTCATCTTAGTCATTTATGAAGATATTGAAGAATACTGGGCCTAAGATGGAACCTTGTGGTACCCCACTGCTTGCTTACTTACTTACTTAGACCCATTCAGGACTACTCGTTGAGTACAGTATCAGCCAGTTGCGAATCCATCTGGTGGTGATGCTATCTATCCCCACCTAATAATGTATTGCATTATTAAATCATCCACATCCTTTTAATAGGACTGGTTGGTTGTTATCCATGAGTATCAGCTCTTTCAATGGATATATTCATGGGCAGAAGTTTCAATATGTAAGACTTTAACCATAGCCGCCTCATTGGAACAGGTCTTGGCTTTATATTTCACATGGACATTGTCTGCAATTTCTTTTTTCTACCATCAGCATTAAAAGTTCAATTGAGGCTGAATATCCTCCAGATTTAAAGAAATATGGCTGCCCTTAGAACACATGTACCATTTCCAAGTCCTGGGATAATTTCTGGAAAATAGGTTCTGGAGACTTTCAGTGTGGTTTTCTGAAAATTCGTTCCCTCTTTTGGTATCACTTGGGATTTGGTGTTCTCCAGATGTCAAAAGGTTACAAATCATAGAGAAGTGTTCATGGGAGCTATTGTCCAAGGCAGCTGAATGTAATCAGCCTCTTTATCCTCTGAACCAGCATATGAGACATCATACCATATCTATTTTTGCAGTCCAGACATTCAGTTTTTTAAAATGTTAATGATTAATGTATTGGTGCATTATGGGTCTGTTAACCTATATGTGGTTCAAGTTTTTTTCACATCTGAAATGACATCTCCGTAGCGCAGGAAAAACCTAACCGTTTTTCTATTGTAACAGTATAATATTTCTATGTTATTCTCTGAAATACTATTTCTCCAGTAACATATAAATTATAGCCATCACAAATGATTTTACTGCATTTTATCTCTTATGTAATCACAGTTATATTGTTTGTAGCAACTGCATGCCAAATTTTATGTAGCCATTCTTTTAGAGGCTTAAATTTTGATATACTGACATTTTGATATACTGTCATTTTTATTGTAACATCATTCATATCATTAAAGAAATCCTGGCTTTGGAAATAAAATATAGGATGATTTGTAGCAGATCATCATGGATTTTGGACACCGATCTAGCACATCAAAATCTAAAAGGTTTTCTGGCCCTCCTCTTTAAAAAGCCAGTATTTGGAGAAACCCAGCAGCAGGGTTTTGAGTGAAAGGATATCTGATCTTATTTGAATATTAGTTACCAATTGATGAATATGTTGAGACAAACTCAGCATATTTTTAGTTTCATTTTCCTTTCATGGCACTGCACAGAACTTTGTATCTGATCATTATTTTCAATTCAACAAACTGAAATTCTCTCAAATAAATAATTACAGAAAATCATAAGCTACAAGGCTTCCCCTTCCAAAGAGACACTAAAAATTAGTATTTGAAATCCAGTTCTCATGTATATTTTTCTAACTATAGGTTATGCGTTGATGAAAATATTTAATGTCAAATATATATATCTTTAAAAACCATGCTGGGGCTAAAAATGCCTTAACCACTAGTCTTATTGTGTTCTGACCAAGGCTTCCAAGATCGTAATTATATGCACCCTTATTTTAAAAACAAGTCTTGTTTTATTGCAAGGCTGGGAATTATTTTTATTCCCAGCTGGTAATGAATCTCAAACAGTCCCTTGAGATAAGCACTCACCTTTCTTTCCTGTGAAGTGCTGCCAATAATAGAAGTGTCTAATGAACTAGAAAAAAACCCAACCGAAGTACAAAGAGCTTCAAGAATGAATCTGAACGAACGAATGACTTTGCTTCCTGCAAATGTTTCATCATCTTTGCCTGTCCTTTATATCTTATCGGAGGGGCAATCACCTCCCAGCCTTACTCCCGAGTCGCCCCTTTTGTTTCAGCTGATCTCACATTCTAGCAGCTCTGCACATACGTGCACTGGGAACAGGCTCCCCTTGTTCCTCTGCCTCGCCGCTGCCACACTCCAAAGGCTCCGGAAGCAGCACCCCACTCCCAGATGGTCCTGGCCCTATCTCTGCATCAGATGCAGGACCCTCGTCCGAATTCTCTCCAGATTCCCAGACTGATCCCTTTTCTTTCCCACTGTCCAATTTTGCTGCCGTCTGCACAGGCTGCTGGCAAACCACAACACTGCATTTCCTCCCAGTCCCTGATATGAGGAACAGAAACAAGTCATCGCAACTAAATTGCCTCCTAACCAAATTAAACATTTGCCTCACAGTATTACTCACATTCATTGTATATAACACAGCACAGTATTTAGAATTGTGGATCAATCTATATTCAAAGGGCAGAGAGGTGATTTGGAATGTATGGAGGACTGATGCCGCATTTGTCACTATCACCATTACATCACATGTGCCTGGATCTTGTGCAACTCCAAGAAAAGATGCAGTTTCAAGAATTTACTGACATGATAGATCATGAGCAGACCTGAATATGTCAACTCATTATTTTTGCTTCAAAAAGCAAACAACAAAACCAAAACAACAATCCTACTCTCTATTGGCATCTCAATTTCAAAGAAGGAAATTCCAGCCTTACTTTCAGATACCAGATGAGTACCCTTATATCTTACCAAAGGTCAGGAAAGTCTGTTTCTAAAGGACTAAGAAGAAAGAACATTTTCCAATGTAAATTAAGCTGCTGCTCCTGGGTACATTCAAGATCTCTCCTGTTTCTGATGCTGTCTTTTCCTCTTACATTTATTGTAAATGCAGACGTTATTTAAAGGTTGGAAGGTAGTCTATAATTATATATAGCTTATGTTCAAGATGATAGATTCCTCCTATTGCCGTCATCTAGAACAAACCTTTCAGGAACAAGAACCACAGCCAAACTGTGCTCCCCACCTCTCCTCAAAGATGGTCCAAAAGAATAATATGGTTAATGCTATCAAAAGCTGCTGAAATAAAGGTTAAGAGGGTTTGACATTATCTGATCCTGATCTTTCCAAAGGCAATCCACAAGTGTGACCAATACCGTTTTTGTGCTACATCCTGACAGCCAAGTGTCCTTCTGCCTCTTCTTGGATCCTTCCTTACCTCAAGGTTGCCCTTACGTTTACTCCCAAGTTTGAGTCGGCATGGCAGAGTCATAGATCACACTTAGATCTTGTTGACTGTCTTCTTTGGAACTTTACTCTATTTTCCTCAACCCCACCAAGACCCTGCCAACTCACCTCTTGTGTGTGAGATGGTGCTACAGCTTCATAAGAGTCCATCACTAGTGAATGAGTTTATCATTAATATCTATGGTAAACATAAATATTTGTATTTATTGATAGAGGATAATGATAGGCATTTTCCATCAAAGTTTCTGGAAGCAATAAACATTTAATCAGAGAACTGGGAAAGAATAAAAACGGTCTTTGATATTTATTTATTTGTTTGTTTATTAAATTTGTTTATCACTCATGGTTCAGGAAATTCTGAGTGGATATCATTAATCATTCATTAATCATCAAAATATCATTAATGCCGAGACATGCTCATATATAAAACCAACCCACTAAAAGTATTCAGTTGCAAATGAGAAGCTTTATTAGAGAATTTTCTTTGGATTATGTCAGCATATCTATTTATTCAAATAAACAAGTTGGCTTGATTGATTATATTAGTTTAGCAATCTAATAGTACAGCTTTTTTGCAAGGCCAGTTATCAGACATCAATTTTTCAATCAGAATTAGGATTTGAGTAGATATTTGTAACATTATCAGCAGAATTACTCAAAAACATTCTGAAGAGATTATCAGCAGAGAAGAATCTTCAGATACCCACAATCTGATTGCACATTGGGGGGAAAAACCAACGCCTGACACATTGTGAAGATCACTGTAGTGCAACTGGCTATACATAAACACAGTTTGCTTCTCAGCAATTTACATGTCTTCATATTTAGTTGGCAGTTGACTTTCAATCTATCTTTTGGAGAGATGATGTGTGATCCACTGGGCACAGTTCATGAAGACATCTGCTTCAGCTACTACTCCACTTAAGGCATGATTCTCTTCTGGATACCACATCAGTCTGTAAAAAGGAACATCGCTAAAGTGTTTTGCAAAAGTTCTTTCTTAGAAGTAGGTTGTTACGAGGTAGTTTTTCATTACCATTTCTTTGGCATGTTTTAAAAATATTCCTAGACTGCTATGGGAAATTCTTTGCTTTGACTGACAGTAAAGAGAGTACAGTATTGACAGTACACTCATTTTAAAATAAACACATGACACTTATTTTTTAAAGAAGCTGTGCCAATGTACTCTTACTGCCAACTTCTCTATCATCTGTCATTGCCAAAGTGGTTCCCTGCCTTTTTACAAGGGGTTGTCTTTTCAGTGTGCACACTGTTATTCCATTTACCTGATTTGGTTGTGATTTGAATAATTCAAATTGCAAACCAACCTAATTTTTATATATTAAAGGATCCCTGTATACAATTTCTCAGCACAATCAACTGTAATAAAATTATACAATAAGTAACACACACAAAGAAGTTGGACACTTAGGCATATAGTTTTCCTGCTATTCTTGCTTTCTTAAAAAAAAAAAAAAAGCCCATAGCAGCAGATTGGAGCAATTCATCGTTTATGTTCTTTATGTATAAACTCCATTGGTTCTACCTGCATTTGGCTGGGTCAATTTACAATATAATACTCGGAGGCTGCCTGCTACTCTGCATTCATCCCAGCTTGTAAATTTGAAAATATGGACAGAGAATTGAGAGATAAAGGTTATTAGCAGCTTGCTAAATCAATGCTGTTTATGGCTGATTAAATTACCTGGGAAAGGATTGGACCCCTAATTAAGGGAGGTTCTCAATGGCACCACCTAAATGGAATATGTTCCCCTGGGTCTAATATTTCAACTGAAGAAACAGTTGCCTGGACTCATACAATTATTGATTTGTGTAACTCAAACATTCCATCCCTGGGGAAAGCGACCGAGAAAATGGTAGACCTTATGCACCTCTTCAATACGCATCTAGACAATGCTGATTATATGCATCCATATGCATGGAAATGTGACTGATTAGCAGGACCCCTTTCAATTATGCCTTCAGCCAAGATACAGCACTGAGTTACTTACTAGAATAGTTTGTGCTGAAAACCTGAGGGAAGCCCAGCCCTAACATTTTCCCTGGATTTCTCAATGTTATTCAATCCCATTGATCCTGATATTCTTCTAGAGAGTCTGGTACTGGGCCTCAAGTATTAAGTCAAAAGGTAATGCTGGAGGAATGCTGCTGACCCCTTCTTCGCCATTCATTTGTAATGTCCCACGGAATTCAATTTTGTCTCCCATGCTAGTGAATGTCAACAGACAATTAGGAGGAGATCATCTGGAATCTCGGAGTGGGATATCATCCAATGCTTCCAGGGCATACTGATGCCTCTGAGATGCATTGTTGCCTACCATCCAACACCAAGACTCACTAAGATGTCCTTAAAGAATGTCTAAGTTCCAGAAAGGGCTGGGTGAATGATACACATTCTAATTAAGTTAAAACATGAGGGAAACATTGATACACATTCTAATTAAATGAACTCATTGGTTTGTTTTACATAGGGCTGTACTAAAACGGAAAACACAAAATCTTAAGGTGTATCTTACTCCTAGGTTGTCACTGAATTTACACAGGGTAGCTGTGGTGAGGAGCATGTTTGCACACCTATGGCCAGATTTGATTTGCAATTCTTATTCTTAGTCTAGATCAGATCTTGTCTTGATTCCCACATTACAATTTTGCATGGAGCAACACTTGAAACATATCTGGGAACTGCAATTGATACAAAACTGGTACATCTCTTCCACTTAGAATAAAAGATTTCATAATGTGTAATGTATTGAAATAATAAGTATTAGTATTAGTTACAAATTGCTTATTACAGCGTTCACAAGTCTTATGTACAGGCTAGCCTTCTGATTCCTCTAATTTGGATGACCTATTTGTTTGCATTGTTTGTTTGTTTGTTCCAATTACCGTTGGTAAATGAGGACTACCTGTATTCAAATTTGGTTTTGTTCCTCCACTCTGCTGGCAAATCCACCGCAATACAATTAAGGCAGGAGCCACAGTATCAGGCCATGGGAATGTGTCCAAATAAAAAAAGTCAAGAAGATATTCTCTTGCTTTGCCTTAATAAATTAAATGGGAACTCACCGCACAGGGATTCCTCTAGCTTTCAACACATGGTAATATTCCAAAGCTTGGTAAGGAGACACTCGACGATCTTTTGCCCCAACACACAGCAGCAGAGGTGCTTGTACCTGTAGGAGAGGGAGGAACCAAGAGATAACCAGCCAAAAAAAAAAACCTCACATAGCTTGTAATATGGAGTCAAGCAAGTTTGTTCATATTTGTTTTCAAGCAAAATATAATAAAACAAGTACAGGTATATGTTGGACCCCTAATGGCAGAATGCATCTATGTGACTTATTCAAATTAAGCTAATACTTCAATTTGTCTTGTTATTCACAAGGTTGGTTCGCAACAGCCTTCTAGTTGAATGAGATGGCGCGCACACATTAGTACTGACAGACACATAAGCTTATAGACACGCACAGTCCTTTTGTTCTTTCTTTTCTGCCGAGCTGTCAGGAAACATACATTTATTGGAATGTATATGATACAATCTGTCCTCTCAGGGCAGCTTACAAACATGCTGACTATAGCCATGTGATATAAAATATATATATAGCTGCTAATTGTTGATGCTGACTTAATGGCACAGAATCACTCAATGAAATGAAAAAAAAAATGGAGGAAAACATTTAGGCCATCAACTTGAGTCTACGTTAAAACATTCCCTACAATTCCCCACTGGACTCTGCTTGGAAATGCAGCACAATTCTAAATTCTACATCTGAGCACTACTTAGGCTGAATGGTGAGTTTATTATTTTTTTTAATAAAATCTAATTACAGGGCTTTAGACATGAAATAGAAAGAAAAAACACAAGATGTTTGCTGGAGGCACAGGTTCTGCAGTAAAAGAGCAGCTCCACTTATTAGTTCTTACCTTTGTAGCATGAGTGATGGGGGAGGAGAGCAGCATGGCAGCCAGATCCTTTTCTGTAGGAATCCGCTCATAGGAGTATGGCAGACCCAGAGAAGCGTATCGCCTGGGGAAAGTGTACAGAATATTTAGCCCTATGACCTCTGCCTGCACTGAGATGCCAAAAAACTGACTGCTACCATGTTTCACTAAAAATAAGACCTGGTTTTATTTTCCTTTAGGCCCCCAAAATAAGCACTAGGGCTTATTTTCGGGGACACATGATTTCAGGGTGATCAACCCGGCTAGGCGCCCCACCCCCGGCACACACATAAGAGCCAGCAAGCATGCGGGGACTGCAGCCCACCGATCCCTTAGCTCAGTGGCCCCCAACCTTTTTTGTGCCATGGCCCGGTACCGGCATCACAAAATGATCCGCAGCCTGGTACCAGCATCAGCACACATGACAAGGCAAGGCGAGCCGAGTGACCGGCCAGCCAGCCGTCCCCCGCTTCTCCCCGCCACCTTCAACTCCTCCTTTGTACCTTTGTCGATGGGCTTCGCTTTGGGACGGCTTTGGGACAGCCGCTCGGCTCGACTTGCCTTGGGTGCTGAAAGAATCCTCACGCCTTAGTTTCATTCGAAGCCCCCCCCTTCGATGAAACTAAGGCGCGAGGATTCCTTCAGGACCCAAACGCCGCTTTCCAACCGGAAAAGCTCACCCGGAAGCACTTTCTCGTCAAACAAGATGGCGGCGCCCAGCAAAACGGCGGCCCGGTAGGAAATGTTCCATGGACCGGTACCGGTCCACGGCCTGGTGGTTGGGGACCCCTGCCTTAGCTGGTGCACTCTGGGGCTGTGCAGAGTGGAAGGAATGGAGCAGAAGGCAGGCGATCCTGATGTGCCATGCAGGCTGCAGACACACTAGAGATGCAAAGATGAGCCTTCCACATCTACCCACCACTCTGGTCCACTGCCGCTCAGCTTTCCCGCAGCCCGCGTGGCATGGGAGGCAAAAAAGCCAATCTCTTGGGCTAGACCATGCAGGAGGCTTACGAAGGCGTGCTTCTTACCAATCGGGAATGTCAGAGGTCCCCAGTAGAGTGGCCATGTTGGTGACGGAATTTCTGACTGCACAGGCTTTGTACATCTCTGGAAACCAACCAATCAAATGGCAACAGATAAAGCCACCATGAGAACCTCCCAACAAGGCAATTCTATTTGGGTCCAAATGTTTCATCTGCAGTGCCACTTCTACTGCCAGCTGTAAGAGGAACATTAAGCAAATTAAGCAAGTATCTCAGAGGCTGTTGCACAACTAGACCTGGCTCAGAAAGTAGTTTCTTGGGCAGTAGAGTGCAACGCAGTTCACAAAACTGAACTTGTGACTTGTCATGCCATTGATATACGTATAAGATCCTTAATAACTCTTCCTACAAAGCTCAGCAAATGTCTGTTGTTTATGCAAGAGGAATATTTTTTTTCTTCAAAGGGATGCTGACCGACAACAAGAATATATGAATGAGGCTACGCCAGTAATACTCTTCTACTCAAAATACTGAGTTTGCTCTTCCAATACCCGTGACCTTAGCACGGCATCAAACTGGCTGGGATGAATCTGCTAAGGACCAAGTCATCCAACTGTGCAGAGAAGCCAATGGAGAAAAGAGGAGCCCTATTCTGACAGGACAATTATATATTACAGACCTGCCTTGCAGTCCCCATATCTGTGACCATAGCTTGTTCTGCTAACCCAAAAAAGAAGGCAGATTACCCACCATTGTAAAGAAGACAAAATATTATACAATAATGTCGCCTTCTGTTCTAGCCTTAAACCTGGCCTAACCTCAGGCTTCTTCCTGGGGAAGGGAAAAATGAAGAAACAAAGGAGACTGACCTGGGTGTCTGCCACATCTTGCACTCCAACATGAGATATCAATGAATCAATGCTGTCCTGGCCAAAACCCAAGGACCCTCTATAATTCACTGTTTAGATAGACAAAACAAAGCACAAGAGTACATCAAGGGCAACCTCCAGAGCTTTCCAAGTCCCTTAAGGTTTTGAGCAGCAACCAAGAAAGACACCTGGCTATCAGGTTGTTTTAAAAAATCAAGCATTTCTATAGTCAAAGAAAACGCATTTATAGAATGTGAAACTGCTCATGAGAAGTACAAGCTACCATGCTGTCATTGGTTTCCCATGTCCTTATTCTGATGTCACTCTGCTGCTCAAATAACTGTGGTTATAGTTACAAAGGGAGTAAGTAACTAGCTCAAGTACTCCAATCTTTCAGGTCATTCTCTTGTTTGTTAAAACAGTTCCCTATATACACTGCTCAAAAAAAATAAAGGGAACACAAAAATAAGACATCCTAGATCTGAATGAATGAAATATTCTTATTAAACACTTTGTTCATTACATAGTTGAATGTGCTGACAACAAAATCACACAAAAATTATCAATGGAAATCAAATTTAGCAACCCATGGAGGTCTGGATTTGGAGTGACACTCAAAATTAAAGTGGAAAAAAACACTACTGGCTGATCCAACTTTGATGTAATGTCCTTAAAACAAGTCAAAATGAGGCTCAGTAGTGTGTGTGGCCTCCACATGCCTGTATGACCTCCCTACAATGCCTGGGGATGCTCCTGATAAGGTGGCGGATGGTCTCCTGAGGGATCTCCTCCCACACCTGGACTAAAGCATCCCCCAACTCCTGGACAGTCTGTGGTGCAATGTGGCGTTGAGGACAAGTGAGACATGATGTCCCAGATGTGCTCAGTTGGATTCAGGTCTGGGGAATGGGTGGGCCAGTCCATAGCGTCAATGCCTTCGTCTTGCAGGAACTGCTGACACACTCCAGCCACATGAGGTCTAACATTGTCTTGCATTAGGAGGAACCCAGGGCCAACTGCACCAGCAAATGGTCTCACAAGGGGTCTGAGGATCTCATCTCGGTATCTAATGGCAGTCAGGCTACCTCTGGTGAGCACATGGAGGGCTGTGTGGTCCCCTAAAGAAATGCCACCCTACACCATTACTGACCCACTGCCAAACCGGTCATGCTGGAGGATGTTGCAGGCAGCAGAACGTTCTCCACGGCGTCTCCAGACCCTGTCACGTCTGTCACATGTGCTCAGTGCGAACCTGCTTTCATCTGTGAAGAGCACAGGGCGCCAGTGGTGAATTTGCCAATCTTGGTGTTCCCTGGCAAATGCCAAATGTCCTGCACAATGTTGGGCTATAAGCACAACCCCCACCTGTGGACATCGGGCCCTCATACCACCCTCATGGAGTCTGTTTCTGACCGTTTGAGCAGCCATATGCACATTTGTGGCCCACTGGAGGTCATTTTGCAGGGCTCTGGCAATGGTCCTCCTGTCCCTCCTTGCACAAAAGTGGAGGTAGCGGTCCTGATGCTGGGTTGTTGCCCTCCTATGGCCTCCTCCACATCTCCTGATGTACTGGCCTGTCTCCTGGTAGTGCCTCCATGTTCTGGACACCACGCTGACAGACACAGCAAACCTTCTTGCCACAGCTCGCATTGATGTGCCATCCTGGATGAGCTGTACTACCTGAGCCACTTGTGTGGGTTGTAGACTCCATCTCATGCTACCAT